TATATACAATTTATTTTAGTTATTTTGTTTTCGTTTAATATGATAAGTATTTTATTTATTTTTTCTCGTTTAATTTTTTTATAATTTATTATATTATATTTTGATTTATCATAAGTTTATTTTAATATTTTAATTTAATATAATTTAGATTATCTTTTAAATTTAATTTCATTTATCCATAGTAATGTCCATATATATCAAACATTCCTAGATCTAACATTCAACCTTGAATAGTGGTACTGTGGTAGTTGCTTGCTTGCCATGCTCACAGGGGAACCCAGACTTGAACCTCAGAGGCGATTTTTTTTTTTTTTTAATTCAATTTCTCGCGATATATCCAATATATCGTGATAAATGTAATTTATCGTAAATATATCTATACTTATATAAATTACTAAATATAGCAAACAAAACAAATTTCTGAATTTCTAAATAAGGAAGGGATAGAAATTTAAATAAAATATGGTTGCTTTCCTTAACAAACTTATAGGGAAAACATGAAAAAAAAAAAATCTTTAATTCACATTCAATATTTAACAATTTCCTAATAATTTTCATACAAAATTCAAATTCAAATGTTAACACTTTTCTATAACTTTCATGCAAATTTTGCCCGGATACATAATGATCGACACAAAATTTAGCAGTACTTAAAAATAGCACAACACCCATGTATTACACGGGTGCTTGCTAATTTTTTTCTTAAGATCTAAAATTAATAAGAATAAAGTAGTTTGAAAATTTAAATACCTTTCATAAGAATATATTATTATATATTTATTATGACACTTCTTATTTGTGCGACTTACTTGTGTTATATTATGCTAATTTTTTTTAACTTACAATATATAACTACATTACATATAAATATATCAATTGAGAAATAATTTTATTTTTCTAATGAATTTTAATAAATATTATTATTTTTTATTATTATAAAGATAAATATAATTTATTCATTTTATATATACAATATGGATGTCAAATCAAAGATCATCAAAAGAAGATTAATTTGATATATTATATATATAAAACCGATAAGAAATACAAAAGTTATCAACTTTTAAAATACATTTATAATTCAATAGCTTATTGAAGGAAACAAATCAAAATTCAGGGATATATTAGCCATTGTGTCTCACTATGTAAAATTACAAAAAATTAAAGGGTTATATTAGTAAAAGTGATATTAAAATACCTAAGTTAGCTAAATATTATTTATGGAATACCCGAACCTAGATGATTAATTATTAATTATCAATATTATTCATCCAAACCTAATTACGAAGCATGATTCTTCGCCAAATAGGATTCCGAAGCACCAGAAGCAGCCACGTAGGCTCAGCGCATTCGGAAATTATATATAGGGAGGATTTAGGACTCCTTAAATGCAGAATTGTGGAGAATTTAAATGGGTACTGAGTTTGGATCATTCATTTTAGTTAAAAAAAAAAGAGCTTAAATGAGTAACAAGAAAACTTAAATTAGTTAAATGAATATTTATATATATAAAGAGACAACCTATTTATCAAAAATAGTAAAAAGTCAACCATCATTTATTGCATTATTTTTTTTTTTTAAAAAATATTATTCATAAAAAACCAATAAGGAATATATACACCCTAAATTCATGGATTTTGTGAATTTAATTTAGGTAAATTTTGACTAATGCTTACAAATTTGCAAAAGTCAAATTTCTTTCACATTTTTTTTTAAAAAGAAATCGATTACCACAAAATCGGGAATTTCGATTAGGCAAAATACTATCACATATATCTTTTACTAATTGCAACAGATTAATTGTTTATTGTAAAAATTGGAGTGCATAGAAATTGATTTAAATTATGTAAAATTGTGCATGACAATTTTGTAAAAGTGAAAATTCTCTCATTTTTTATTAAAAAAAATCTTTTTACCATAAAATCGAGAATTTCGAATTAGGCAAAATACTATAACATGTATGTTTACCTAATCGCAACAGATCATATTCATTAAAAAAAATTGGATTTCATAGAAATCGGGCCCAAATACAAATTAAAATTAAATTTTAAAAATTCTTTATCATTTGGCTATTATTTTTTTTAGTTCGATTTTTTTTAAACATAAAATAGAGTCAAAATATTAATTTGCAATTCAAAATAATATCGGATTGGAACATCTTAAAAATTTGGGTTTTGTTTAATCCTTTAGAATACAAATTTGAAATTGATTGCAGACATTTACAAAATAAATAACGATTGCATACACTTACAAAATATCATATATATCCTGCTAGATAATTAATTTATTCATTTAAGTCTATCTCGAATCCTAATATAATTTATGGTGATAGACAATGTGCCAAAAGACCGAACAAATAATATTGTGTACAATGATTTGTTTAATAATATAAAAGTTACATTTTGTTTATTCCAATACATGCGTTTTACGTTCTTTCAATCATCTAAATCTAAAGGTTTAGCTTAATAAAACTAGCTCGTGCATTGCACGGTACCACACTAGTTTATATATAATATTCAGAGTGTATAATTGGTTTTTATAATAAAATTAACACGTTAACGGGGAAATTGAAAAAGTGAGCGTGTGCATCGATTACTTAAATACAAGGTTGGTGCATTTTTTAAAACACAAGATAGTAACGCACACATTTCGTATAACACATAGGAGTTTGGTGCAATTTACCCTTTACACCATTTATTTCACAGCATAAATATATTTTCCAAGGGTGTCGATAATTCTGCCTGGTGTTGCGGCATATATTATGGATATTGAATTAATAATTTTTTTTTTATTCAAAAAATTATTTTGCAATAGTTTCAATGTGTTATGAAACTTTATACAAGTTTCTCTTTTCAACACAATATAAACCTTTTGTGAAAAAATTACTAACCATATAATATACTAGTGCATACTAGTACAGATTACAATTCGATCTTGAAATGAAGTGAAACCAACTATACATTGTGAACATATTAGTACATTACTCTCTATGTTTAGTGCACCTTTGTTACACCTAGTGCTGTTAAAATAAACGAGCCTAGCTCGACTCAGCTCGAGTTCGGCTCGAATTTGAGGCCTTAACGAATCGAGTTCGAGCTCATTAAAAGCTCTCGATAAGGCTCGAAAAGAAGATTTTTATATAATTTTTATAGTTCATCTCATTAACGCTCGAGATCAACTCGTTAAGACTCAAACTCGATTTGTGGCTGGATTATTTAACGAGCCAAGCTCAGGTCGCCTCGTTAAGAACTCAGGTTCGACTCGCCTCGGCTTGTTTACAGCCTTAGTTACACCAATGCCCGCCCAACAAACTTTGTGAACTTCAAAACAAAAATTAATTTAGTAGTTTTTT